CCCCCCCCCCCAACACACCACGGCAGCCCTTGCCCCCCCAGCCCCAGCCCTCCTGTGGCGCAACTTTGGTGTTCATTAAACACGGTCTTGTTACATGAACTCTGAGGGTCCAAGTCTGGTCTCTTCATCCAGAGGAGCCTCCAGGGGCTCCCCTGGGTGGGCCGCCAAATGGGGCACAGGAGGCTGCACCTTCACGATGCCTGTCTGCGTCACCAGTGGAGTGTTGAGGGCCTTTGAATACCACCTTCTGTAAGCCACTGGAGGTATATCCAAGCACTGTTTGCGTGGCTCCCTCTGCAAACTTCTGGAGCCTGGGGAATTCTTTGCTGGTGAGTGAGTCTGGAGGAGTCCCTGTGGCTGCCCTGAGGCTCCTACCTGGCCCTCGAAGAAATCCAGCCCAGGAGGGAGATGATGGCTTAGTCACGGGGTCTCTGTCTATAGCGTGCGGTCTCTGTGTGCACGTGCAGCGCCCAGGTTCTTCCACTTTGACGTTGTCTCCCGAGCTGTCCTGCTGAACTAAAAGGTATGTGACTATTACCTTCATTTTTAATTCTTATTTATTCTTGTGCGATGTCAGGTGTTCCCAAATAGAACACGTTTTGTTAATATTCTCTGTTGTTTCTTCTTGATTACCTAGAATTAGCTTTTGATGTTAAAAATAGCCAAATTTTTATGGAATTGCATGATGAATTATTACCCGTTTTTCTAGAAACATTTAGAAGTTTATTTTGAGGGGTGCCTGCCTGGCTCAGTTGGAAGAGTGTGCTGTGCGACTCTTGATCTCGGGGTCGTGAGTTCAAGCCCCACACTGGGTGTAGAGATTACTTAAATAAAACTTAAAAAGAAAACAGAACATAGTTTGAATCAGTTCATTAAATTAATTTGTTGAAGTGGACTATATGCGTTTAGGGCTTCAGAACGTCAGTTTTTTAAAAGTAATTTATAATACAAGAGTAAGGCATTTGTATTATGAATTTTTCAGAGTTTTAATTGCTGAATTGAAATTAGTATTTCAACTTTTCCTACTTTTATAAGCGGGGTGCTTAATTTTTTGAGTTTCTCCTGGCAACTTGTTGCAGAAAATTCTGAAGATTCTAGGCTTTCAAATTTCTTATCCATTTCCTGAAGCCATAAGGCCTGTATAGTGTCTTTTAGTATTTATTATTTACCAGATTTGGGTTTTGTAACTTTTCATTCTAAATAATTTTAGATTTATGGATGAGATGCAGAGGTGGCCCAGCGGGTTTCCATGGGCCCTACCAAGCTTTCAGAGGCCTCGTACAGCACATGTATCCAAGCAGAGATGAATATTGGGATATAATGCTATTAACCACAGATTTAATCAGATTCCTTGAGTTTTCCCACAGCCCTTTCTCTGTAGCAGGAATAGTTTTAATTTGTATAGATATTTACATTTTTATTAAATCCAGAGTGACTTCAGAATTCATGGGCCTAGGGCTGCCTAGGTGTCCCCAGTAGGTTGAGCGTCTGACTTTGGCTCAGGTCATGATCTCACAGCCTGTGACTTCGATCCCCACATCCGGCTCTGCGCTGACAGCACGGAGGCTGCTTTGGGTTTTCTGTCTCCCTCTCTCTCTCTGTCCCTCTCCACCCCCTCTCAAAAATAAACATTAAGAAAAAATTCACAAGACTAAACACTGGTCAAAAAAATAAATTAGCCAGCACAACCCCGGTCTCAAACATGGATTCACATCTTGACTGTTGTCCTCGCCCAAATGCCCCGTTTGCGTGGGGAAGTTACCCGGTGAAGCCAGGAGCACCAAGGACACCTCACGAGCGCTTGACCCTGCAGCATCTAAGTTAGGCAGGAAAGCGTGTGGATCTTCAAAAATAACCTGGCATAAAACAGAATCACGATCTTCATCAGGTTAGTGTCAGACTGTGCCCTGAAGTTAGGCACGGTGTCACGTGATTCGCTGCTAAAGATGAAATGCCTCACACACTTGCAGACGTGCTCACTTGACCCAGCCGCATGGAATTTAACACGTGCGACCGAAGAAGCAAAATCAGTGGACACGCGGTCACACAGACACACTGACCCGTGACGTGCCTCGGAGACGCACCAGCTGTTAAAAACCTGCTTCGGATTGCTGAATCCACAGCGTGTTCCCTAGTTGTCCAATTAGTTTGGGCACGTAGAAGCCATTTCATCGGTGAGAAGCACCGCTGGCCGTGGGGGCCTGCAAGTCGGGTCTGGTCCGGGGACGCCGGGGACGCCGTGGCCGCGTGAAGGCCGGGAGTGGGCCCTGCTCGACTTCACGCTGAGGTGCGCTGACTCGCAGAGGACTCACCTCAGCAAAAGCAAGCGAGCTCACGACTGAAGAGGAGAAAGTCGTGTGGATGATCTTACCTTCCATTCTTGCGCAGGCCGGTTATTGGCTGGGAAATGGAGCATCTGAACGAGTGTCACCAAGAATCGTGAGACCAAGTAAAAATACACTGGCGTGTGGCGACCGAACTTTGGCTTTGCGGCAGAGTCTAAGTTGGGAAGAGTGAAAATAAAGGATTTTGTAACGTGGTTGGTCAGTGTTCATTTGAGTCCTAAATAAAAATCAATGAGAGCTAATGGACAACACTGAAATATTTGGTGTGAAAACGTGTCAGTGGTCTGGGGAATCGTGGGTGCGTCATCTCTGGGGGTGACTACCTTGACGTCGTGGAGGACAAGGGCGAGCTGGCACGAGGGGGGATTACTCCCTTGAAGGCGACTTTCAAAGCCTGCGCTAGCTGATCCCGAGAGAGAAGTTTCTCTCCCTTAGGAGACACCCCTCCCGCACTT